TTGGTTTTGGTTTTTCTCCGGTACCAGGAACCGAACTCACGACCTTGCGCTTGCCAGGCAGGCGCTTTTGCCGCTGAGCTAAATCCCCAGCCCCCTGGTTGGTTTTTATTTGAAAACTTTATACCTATTTTGGTTTTTTTTTCCTTAAGATAACTTGAACATATATGTAAAGAAATGAATAATGTAGAAATAGAATATTAGGATTACTTTTAATTCCATAGATCATTCTAAACTAAAACATTGTATAATTACTTGAAACTGCCAATGATTAGTATTTGAAATTAATAATAATGTCGTTATATTTGTATAGCACTTCAGTTCTTAAATAATTATCTATCTCCTTAATATATCATGTTACCCTGCCGCTTAATCCTCAGATTTCATACTTCATTACAAAAATGATTAGGTCTTTCGAAAATCATTGTAAATAGGGTTAATCATTATGTCTGTTTAGGAATATGGGAGTGTGAAATTTTTCTCTTTTTGAAATTTTTCTTGCTTTACAGAAAAATAATTTTAATGCAGTATGAAATCTATGGATTTACAGAGTTATAAATTTACAGAATTGTATAGTAGAAGACAGATGTCTGTAAATATTTGCTAGTAAGAGTGTATTCTAGGTACTAGTATAAGCTACGTATTTTTGTATATGAATAGATAAAATATGTATATGTTTTTCATAACAGCCTTATGAAGTAGGATTGTTTTTATAGATGAGTTTAGATGAGTTAGACTCAGAGAGATTAATTAATTTCCCAGGATAGCACAAGTAGTGAGTAGCAAAAGGTGTGAGATTTGAAGTCATAGAGATTGGCTCTGGAGTTCACGGTTAACCTTAGAAGCAGTATCTTAGGAGAGGACGTTAATGACCAAGAAGGGGCTCAGGTCAAGGACTGTCTGGAAAAAGCAAAGCAGATGATACGGTAAGCCTTGAAGGACGAGTTTGAAATTGTGGGTTAGCAAAGGCGATAAAGTGGCAGAGTGGTGTATCCGAGACTGAGAGTCTCATGTTCTGCCAGCTGAGCTCGCTGGGCCACCTCCTAAAGCCGGGTGTGGTGGCGCACGCCGCTAGTCCCAGCACAAGGGAGGCTGAGCTGGAGGGTCACCACGAGCTCAAGGCCAGCCTGAGTTCAAGTGAGTTCAAGGCTGCTCTGAACTACATGGCGAGATCCTGTCTCCGAAAAACAGAAAATAGATGCTTAAAATGTCATGCATTTTTAAGATAATATGATTTTAGATTGCTAAAGCTCTAAGTAAAAAATAGAGATGCATGACAAGAAATTAGACAAGTATGATTTGTATGCTGTTTGAAGGAAAGCTATACAGGTAAAATATCACCTCTCTTAAAAGTACATAGTAGTGAGTATTATGACAAACTGTGTGTGTGTGTGTAGTGGGTGTCGCTGGAAGTTGAACCCAGGGCCTTATGCATGCAAAGGTTCAGCCCCAGAGCTATAATTGCAGCCCTGCATTTTGTATTAAAAGAGTTTACTGGGCTGGGGATATAGCTCAGTGGCATAAGCACCTGCCTGGCAAGCGCAAGGTCGTGAGTTCGATCCCCGGTACCGCCAAAAAAAACAAAACAAAAACAAACAACAACCAACAACCAAAAAACCAAGAGTTTATAAAAGTCAGTTACAGAAAGGCAAAATAACTTCAAAAGATGTTAACTTGGCATTATGATGAAGAAAGGGATGCACCGTTTATTTTTGAAGTTTTATCTACTTGTGTTAAAAAAATACTTCTTATGGTCATTTGGACTTGGAGTATGTGGTGGTGTAAGTTCCAGGGAGTCACGTAGCTTTTCATTGCTGTGGCCCGGCACTAGTAGCAGTACCTGGCAAAGGGTAATAAGATGCAGGTGGCAGATATTTGCAACTGAAGAAGCAAACATTATAAGATGTTTATAGATTCTGTCCAGGGTTTAATCTAAGGAAGCAGGAATTTGAGCCTAAGAGAATCATCAATTTAATTTATATGAAATGTAAAGCATTTTCAGTGTTTGACCAACAGGGAATTTATTAAATATATTACTGTACATCAGTAAAATAGATTATGGGAATTTAATAATGCAGAAGAAAATAACTTCGGTAAAGATTTGATATTAAATACCTGAGAAGAAGCTGGGTGTGGTGGCACACGTCTGTAATCCCAGCACTCAGGAGGATCTTTGTGAGTTTGAGACTAGCCTAGGTTACAAAGTGAGCTCAAGGCCAGCCTGAATTGCATAGTGAGACTCTGTCTCAAAGAGACCAAAAAAAAAAAGAAAAGAAAAGAAATACAGATTAAAAACCATGTCGCAGCTGAGCGGGTGGTGCATGCCCATAACCCTAGCACTCTGGAGGCTGTAAGTTTTAGGTCAGCCTGGGCTACGTAGTGAATTCAAGGCCGTACTGAGCTACATAGTGAGACCCTGTTTGTCCCATGCCCCGCCTCCTTCCCCCCAAAAAGCAAAACCAAAATCTCCAGTGTCCTAATTTGTAAAAGTTTGTTATAATATGATCACATATGTATATTTTTAAGTGAGTGGAAAGGTAGATCAAGATTTTGATTGTACTCTTTGCTGTTTTTGTCTTTTATTTTCTGTTTTTCCTACCTGTATTTAATTAAAAAGTCATTTAATGTGGTTTTATACCAAAGAAGATATAAATCTTTCCTCTTTAAAGAACAATGAAACAAAAAATAAAATGCTTATTAAAACGTTTTCTGTCTAAACATTCAATCAGCAAGAGCTAGTATTTGGAACCTTATTTGCTTTTTTTCCTTCTAATATTGATGAAGTTAGCACGAACAGTTGGATTCTCAGCTGATGTTCGCAGAGCAACCATATTTGAACAGTCTCATATTATCCATGTGTTTTAAATTACGTAATTGAAAGTTAGAGAAGTTAAATAATTCCTGTAAAGTTACGTGCATGGTAAGTGCTGGCGACCCTAGTCCGCTGCCTGCCTCTGAAGCGCCGCTCTGTGTCACTGGAGGTAGGGAGCTGCTGGCATTCCTTTGCTTTGTCATCGAGTACTGAGGCCAGATCCCAAACCCAGTTGGCACAGCACAGGGTTTTGTGAAGTACTACACATTACTTCTTGAGAGTTCCAGAGTGTGGAAAGGGTGTTCCATGAGCAGTGAATCGAACAAGTGATTTAGGGAGTTTAAGGGTGATTTGTTTTAATTAATGATTGGATTAAATCTGGAAAGAGTAGAATGAGTATAGTCCCGTGGAGAACGTGTGCGTGTATGTGAGAATTTACTCTTTTCATCCAAAGGAAGAAGAGTGTAAAGATTACAGCTTCCCTGCTGGCCTAGAAGACCATATTCTGGGCGAGAATGTGTCTCCTAACGCAAGTATCTCAGGGTTGGTCTCCAGTGAGCTTTCCCAGAGCAGCACAAGCCTTGGCAGTAGCAGCAGCAGTGGAGACGCTGGAAAAGTGCAGTGTCCGACAGGTACGAGAAGGGATCTGTCCTTCCCTTCCCCTCTGTGTCCCTCTCCTTCCCGTTTAAATGCCCACTGTCCAGCGGAGCATGGTGGCTCACACCAGTAATCCCAGCACTCGGGAGGCTGAGGCAGGAGGATCGCTGTGAGTTTGAGGCCAGCCTGGGCTACAGAGAGAGTTCAAGGCCAGCCTGATGTGCATAGCAAGACCCTGTCTCAAAAGACAAAAAAAAGCACCCATTACTGTCCACCCCTATATTCTCCGTTTGTTGAGATGATGTTAGATTTTTTTTTGTTTTCTCTTTTTTTTGTAGTAACCACGTCATTCTATTACTCTGATTTTGTATGCTCTGCAAATAGTAAAGTCACCCATTATGTTTTAGTTGTATATATTTGTGGGTTATATCATTAGTTCTCAAGTTTAGCATACATCAGAATCATTTAGGGAATTTGATTAAGAATATATACAAGTAGGGCTGGGTGTGGTGGCGCACACCTGTAATCCCAGCACTCGGGAGGCTGAGGCAGGAGGATCGCTGTGAGCTCAAGACCAGCCTGAGCTGCATATCGAGACTCTGTCTCAAAAAGACAAAAAAAAAAAACAAAAACCTATGCAAGTACCTAAGCCTTTGGCTAAAGCTTTGAAGATTGAGTATGTGGGGTGGGGTCTTGGCAGAGTGTATTTTTAACTATTTGTCTGAGTGGGTCAGTGTGTGAACAGGTTTTAAATATTTCTGGGTGTATCACTGCAATTTCTTAGCTGTCATTCTAAGAAATTATAACCTCTTTTTCTCTGACTTTCTAAATGAAAAATTCCAATTCTCCTGAAAAGTTGAAAGCCTTGTGTGGTGAACAGTTATGTACCCTTTACCTAGATTGGTTAACTTTCATTAAATTTATGTGTACACACATACACCCCTGTGTGTTTCTGTACTGAATCGTTGGAAGAAACTGCAGGCCGTGACACTTACTTCAGAAACACTTTCACGTGTACGGCCAGGGCGTCAGGGCTCGTCCTTACTGTGTTTGCCCCCTCCAGATGAAGTTCCGTTGCCAGGCGGCACAAAGGGACAGGACTCGGAGAAATCAGACCGTGGCTCGTCTCAGAACACCAGCATGTCCAGCATCTGTCAGAACTGTGCAATGGAGGTAAAAGCTCGCTGGGCTGCCCGTGCTAAAGTGGCTGTAAACGTATTTTATTTAACAGCATTGAAGAAATCCTGTGAGACCTTCGTGGACAGAATAGTGAAATGGCATCTCATTGAATTGATTGGTATCTTAATGTAAGTTAAGGCCATGCATCAGTTGATGTCTTTGCCTATAGTATAACTATCCCAAATTTGGTCAGTAGAAGATTAAAAATATTGTTTATCTGAAAAAAAGGGGTTTGGTTTGTGTTTTTGAGACAGCGTCTCACTACATAATTCAGGCTGGCCTTGAATCACTATGTAGCCCAGGCGGGCTTTGAACTCACAGTGATCCTCCTGCCTCAGCCTCCCAAATGCTGAGATTATGGGCATGTACCCCCATGCCTGGCCTGGAATAGCCTACTAAGGTTTGTTTCACCACAGAGATCTTTTTTTTTTTTTTTTTAAGCTTTTTTGAAATTCTTTTTTTTTTGGTACCGGGAATTGAACTTAGGACCTTGTGTTTGCCGGGCAGGCACTGTGCCACTGAGTTATATCCCCAGCTCCCACCGCAGAGAGCTTAATGTCCTTATTTTCCTGTTCTTAGGTTTTGATGTCAAGTTGTTCACTATGTAGAGCTTGTGGAGCCCTAGTTTATGATGAAGAAATTATGGCTGGATGGACAGCAGATGATTCAAATTTGAACACAACTTGTCCGTTTTGTAAAAGCAACTTCTTGCCTCTTCTCAATGTAGAATTTAAAGATTTGAGAGGCTCTGCAAGGTTAGTATTACAAAAGCTCCTTTAAGAGGTAAGTGTCCTCCAGCAGGCACAACTCCTAGGGTAAGAGTGAAACATTCATAGTACGTTCCAGGCATTCCTTTCTTCCTGTCTTTCATCGTCAGTGTTTAAGTAGAAAATACTAGCAACGTAGGTGACTTCTCTTTTCTTTTCTTTTTCTTCTTTCTTCTTCCTTTTAGTCTCCCTGTGTAGTCCAGGCTGTCCTTGAACTCAGTATCCTACTGCCTCAGCGTCCAAGTGCTGGTATTGCACTGTGCCCGGCTGCTTTTCCATTTTATTTAATGTGTGATTACTAGCAGTCATTAATTCTTGGAGAGAAACTCTCACTGTAGACCGCTCAGAATTCTGATGTGAGGCTTTCCTTCGTGCCTTCTGCCGTGGTGGCCTCCTGATTGTAGTTTCTCCTCGTTACCACTGTCGGGTGCAGTAAGGTGAGTGAGGGTTAGGCCGCTGGAGGCCAGCTAGTCTGCTCAGTCATTAAGTAACTCACAGTTTGGTGACTGCACACTGACCTGAGTAATCATACTTAATGTTTTGTGGAGCAGGTGAACCATGTATATTGTCTACTGTCTGTTTCATTTTTGATTGCTGAGAATGAAACCCAGTGGTTTGCTCCCATATGCTGAACATGTAACCTGAGCCGCCACAGGCCGCTTGAATTGCTCAGAACAAAAACTGAAATAAAACTGCAGTTGTAGAGGTGTTTCCTTTGGATCTTTCCTTTTAGTTTTAGGCACAAAGATTAGTACTCTTATGTGCGTCCCTTTGGAGTTGTACTTTCTGTCAGAAAATAGTCAGATGTGAGATCACTGGCTTGTTCCCTGGAAGATTACTTCCCACATCTTTCTGTCCTTCCAGTAGTACCCAGGAGTTTCATTGCTTTACAGCCTTATTGGCAATTGGTAATAGCACTTTTCTGTGTTCACATTGTGATTGTGTTACACCATTGTTTTTTGAATTTCTCTGAATACTATAGTTTGTGTCTGTATTATTGTTCAGCATTTTCTGTGACTTGCTTATATTCTTTGCCTACTTTTTAAGTTTTTTTTTTTCATGTTGGTCTAAGTTGAATATTCTTGATATTAATTCCATGAAGAAAAACGATTAATTTTTATGTCATTATCCATTAATTTTCCACTTAGGAGTTGTACTCTTGGAGTCTTGTTTTAAAACTTATTTCCCATGTGCCAGGCATAGTGGTGGCACATGCCTGTAATCCCAGAACTCAGGAGGCTGAGGCAGGAGGATCACTGTGAGTTAGAGGCCAGCCTGGGCTACATAGTGAGTTCAAGGCCAGCCTGAACTGCATAGCAAGACCCTGTCTCAAAAAAAAAAAAAAAAAAGGTTGTTCCCTATAACTAGATATTAAGATCTTCTCCCTGAGTATTATGTTTTTTTATAGTGCTGGAAATCAAACACAAGGCTGTGTACATCTAGACTGAATGTTCTTGGTATTTTACCTCTGATAGGTGTTTAATTTATCTAAACTCCATGTTTGTGTGGAGAAACCCACTTTTTATTTTTCTCTATACAAGCTAATTGTCACAGTGTCATCTACTAAATAAACTGTCCTGTCTTCACCGATAGCAAGTTGCCATGGCTGGTTGGGAGGGAGAGTTCCTTTTCTTGGATTTTTTTTCTGTTTGTAGTTACTTACTCTTTTCTATAAATGTTGAGAATGAGCTTCAGTTCACACACACACACACACACACACACACACACACACACACAAACAATCCATTTAGATTTTCATTGAGATTGCATAAGATTTATAGATTAATTTGGGGAAAATGGACCATTTTTCAGGATTACCTGAGTATGATATATCTATCTTTCCATATTTTTCAGATAGGTTCTTAGTAGAGTTTTAAATTACTTTCCACATGTCCTGTACTTTTTTGTTGTGTTTTTTAAGCTGTTACGAGGATCTTTTAAACATTTTCTCATTAGGTAAATAGAGCATTATTGATTTTCCCCCCAGTATGTCATTATGAGAAATTTCACTTTTAGAACAAATTTAAAGACGTTGTGGGTGGTGGGAGGCGGCACGGACTGAAACCGGGGCCTTGCTCACCCTCGGCACGCCCTCCACCGGCGACCGACGTCGCTAACAGGTATAAAGGCTTTTCTTCCAACGGCGGACACTCGTGTGCCCATCCTCGTATTTTCCAGTTCACATTTTACTATGCGTTGTCACCTGTCTCTTCATCTTTTAGCAGCTTAGCGTATTCTTCATTAATTAAAGAGTAAGTGGAAGCCTGGTGCGTGCCTGTAATCTCAGCAGGAGGGAGGCTGGGAATGTCGGGAGTTGGGAGACTAGCCCGGGGCTGGGGCTGCCCCGTGAGTTGGAGGCTACCCAGTGAGACCCTGTCTCAGAACAGAAGTGAGGTGAAGGAATTGCTCTCCCAAAGACTTCAGCGTGCGTGTTACTAACGACACAGCAAGATGTACACATCTTAATATACCCTTGGGAAAGTAGGTGCATACATTTGTGTGAATCAAGCCCTTATCAAGATTCCTAACCGTGCCATAATCTCAGAAAATTCTGACGTTCCTTGTGAAGCCCTACCCTCACGAAGTCCCTATCCAATGGGAGGAGAAAGAGAAGATGAAAATAAAATAACGAGCAGAGAAGAGCAGAAATGACTAGACAAACGAGAGATTTATAACCAGGAGAGAAGGATATTGTAAACAATGACAGGTTGACATATTTTAACATGGTGCTGTTGCTGCCCCCCCCCCTGCCTGCGTTCCTGCCGTCCTCTTCCTTTCCCCCCTCCTTCCCTCCCAAACTCCCTCCCTTTCCCTTTCCTCCCCTCCCCTTTCCCTCCCCTCCCCTCCCTCCTTCCCTGCCCACCCAACCCCACTTAGGGAATTAATAAAATCTTTTGCCTTTCCCTCGTTACAGCTTTCTTTAATTGTTCTCAGGCACTGAAGCAGTCTCATGCTGGCCTGCTTTAGCTCGGTCCTTGTCTTAGGGTAGGAGGAGAGAGGAACTGAGAGTGGAAGTGTGTCTGTGCTTGAACAGGCAGTGCCTCCCTGTGAGCTGTTCAGTTCATTAATGCCTGCTCTTTTTCCCCCTTCTTGGCCCCATATTTAGCTTTTTCTTGAAACCAAGTTCCTCTGGTGACAGTTTGCAAAGTGCCAGCATCCCCCTGGCAGATGAGCCCTCGGAGCACACACCTGTGTGTGAGTCCGCAGACTCTGCCTCGATCGACCTCATGGAATTCCCAAAGCACAGTGAGACCATAACTGAAGAGACCGGCTGTGCGGCTGGATCAAGGTACCGTGAGATGCAGATTACTCTATAGTGAGTTAGGTGTCCTTGTACAAACTTAAAAAGCCTTGTAAAAGTGACCTGACTCCTGTAGGCATGGGTTTTGGCATTTACTCTCACATAGTATTTAAATATCTAATGGATGCGTCTGATAAACGGGATCAAACCAGAGGTCTTTGCACTGAGCCACCCCCCCAGATCATTTTTTCTGAGGGTCTCACAGACCCACTCTTTCGCCCGCTCTGGGTTTAAACTCGTGCTCCTCTTGCCTCGTCCCCAGAGTGCTGGGGTTACATGCGTGTGCACCGTACCTGGCTTGGTGAAACGTTTTTGAACTAAGTCAGGTGTTTTCCAGTGAAGTTTCACAAACCAAGCTTCTCAACAGTAAAAATACTTTTCCCTTTGTGTAGTCATTTCCAGTGTCAGAGACTCTGTCTCCTGTGTGAAGTGCATCTCACTGCTCCGTGCTGGAGTCACACGTTCCTCGTGGCCTGTTTGTACGCTGAGCATTACATTTGGCACTAGAAATAAAAAAACAGTGAGACCCGGTCTGTGCCCTTGCGTGGTGACAAGCTGGTCGGAGAGCCAACCTCTGCGCGGTTGCGTGCAGCGGTACTCCCGGATGATGTGAATACAAACGGAGTAATGTTTCAGTGAAGCAACTGAATGAGGACTTAATCTTTTAAATTATACCATGTGTTCTCTTCCCATGCCTTGCCAGTCACCCGGTACGTTTGTTCTTCTGAGCAGTTTACAGAAGTGCTGAAGAAATGGAATTCCTTCTTCTGGGGTGCGACGTGGTGCTGGGACAGACCCAGGCCTCGTGCTTACAGGGCAAACACGTCACTGTTGAGCTGTACTTCCAGCCACGAATTTTAAGTACTAAAAGGTGGTGCTGTTCATTTCAGATGTTTGTAGTAGAGTCACATTCATTGTAAAGAGCACTGTCGCTACAGATTCTTAAAAATTTTTTTAAATTAAAAAAACTAACAAAACAACAATGAAGACAAAATCGGAACAGCACAACAATGATACATGACCTCAAAACAAAATGACAGAAATTTACAGTGGTTGCTACATTACATACTGCTGTCTTCAACGAAGTTGCTCAGTCCACCAGACGTGAGAATATAAGGGTGATCAGGCAGTCAGACACTAACAATAAAAAAAAAGTGGAAAAGATGCAGAGCTTCACCGTACAAGAGGGTAGGAGGTCAGCAGTGTTCTTATACTGCATATTGTTGCTTTCAGATCAGTCATTCTGATTACCAGATTCGAGCGTGCACACGTCTCTACAGGTTTTAACACAGAATTTCTCCCTCATTCTTGAAGTGATCCAATAAAGAAAGCCAGCGGAGATGTCCAGACTGTGAAAACGTCATCAGTGCCCAGCGGTGCATCAAAGCGAAGTGTGTCTTTGACTCGAAGTCACAGTGTGGGAGGGCCTTTGCAAAATACTGACTTCTCCCAGCGACCGTTTCATGGCATTTCTACAGTTAGTCTTCCCAACAGTCTGCAGGAAGTTACGGTATGTGACGTGTAATCATATGCCCACTTCTGTATGCAGTTAATAGTGGTACATAATTGTTCAAAGGTGTACTCATTTTAATAGCATGGAAAGTGATAAACATTTTCCTGTAAACACATGAACTTGTTAAGTGTTTTAATGCAGGCAGAATCGAGCACGTCCAGATGGAAGAGCTTCACGAGCCCCTCGCCTTGTCCTCTGGCTTCAGTCGGCTTTGGGTTTTGGCCGTAAACCTTCATTCACTTTCCCTTTCCTAGACTGTGCTGGAGGAAACTTTAAATAACATGTTTTATTTGTAAATATCTCAGGATATATCTCTGAGGACTTAAGAAAAAATACCACGAGGCCATTATACTAAGAGCCAGTGTCGTCAGGTTGCTCCGTCTTTGCGTCTTTGCTCAGAGTTCCGGTTGTCTCCACCGAGCCCAGGGTGTGGGAGCGGGGCGGCGTGAGGCCTGAGGGTCAAGTAAGGGCCACGCCCTGCGCTTGTTCAGGGAGTGTTATGGTTTCTTTTTATCTTTTTAAATCAGTGGACTCTTCCATACTCAAGTGAAGTAAGTTGGACGCACATGTAGATGGCACAGTGTTTCTCTGGTGTGAGAAACCGAAAGTGTAAATAAGCGTCAAGATACGCAACAGGTATTGTGAGACGGAGAAAATGTGCAGAGGGGGTGGGAACGGGAGAAGGGGGAGGAAGGAAAGCAGGGAAAGGCTAGAAAATGAGAAAAGAAAAAAGGGAAACAAAACTTCGTAAGTGAGGGAGGGAGGGGAGAGAAATGGGAAAAAGCCAAGTTATATCAGGGGCACATTCTCTATGACGCATGTGATCATTATGTAGGTCTAAAATGGACCCCAGAACTCTGATGGAGGAAATAGATAGACTCTTTTTCTGCCCTTACCTGTTAGTAAATTTCTCCTTTAGATATTCCAGGTTAGCGAAGCTCAGATCTGGCGGGTTGTAATCTTACAAATTGGTGTTCGCATCTAGAAGCTTAATTGTGGCGGACTCAGGGTTTTCTGTGCTTGCTTTGTAAGACAGCTTCTTCACAAGCGCTGTCTCGTGATGCTGTTAAGGATGGTGTTCCCAGCGTCCAGATGCGTCGCTTGTTAGAAGCTGTGACGTGATCGTCTGATTCAGTCCTTTCGTCTCTGTTACATGAGAGGTGGCTATACAGAAAGCCTTTGGTTTTCCAAAGATCCACATTGCACAGTATTAGAAAGACAGGAAAAATGCTGGAGTTTTCTTCTGTTTATCAATTTTCAAAACAAGTGTGATCCCTGGTGTTCTCTAAGGTGACCAGTTACTTTGGGGCACTAGGATATTCCTACGTACTTTTTCATGTAAACGCTCTTGTTTGAATCCACTGCAGTTTATATCGCCGCTGATCTTCGTGTTATTCTGTCTTCAGTCAGCTAGAAGCTTCCACAAATTGGCTCATTAGTTTTTTTCACATAGATTTAGTAATCTTTTTGTAGTTTGTGTAAGGCTTCCGTGCTTTCTCACACAAGATATTCCATGCTCACATTACGTTTCTTTTCCCAGACCTTCCTAGAAGCAGCCATTTCTTTCAGAAACGCTGGGAAATGGCATTTGAAGGTCTGAGTCTGGGCACGGGGTGTGCTCATCTGTGAATGAGTTGGTCATAGGTTTACAAACTGTGCATTGATTTTATTGTTTTTGTTTTCATTACTTATTTCATTTGCTTTTTAGCGGGGCTGGAATTGAGCCCAGGGCCCCGTGCTTACCGGTTCATTTGCATTACCACACGGCTCTTTCTTTAGTTCCTCAAGTTTTTGCTGCAGTCAAACGCAAATGATGAGATGTAATTTTAAAAGGCGTAAACAATGTTAACATTAGCAATTGCTTCATATCTTAATAATTATGAAAATAAAGGCAGGCATTTTTTGGCATCATAATAAAATATGTGAAAAAGAAATATTTCATACTTAAAAATTGAAAAAATATGAGTCAGACATGTAAGTTACTGTACTTAGCGTGGTAGAGAAGCTTAGGGGGTGTTGGAATGTGAGTACCCGCGTGCTCTCGTAATTTCAGTGTCACGAGGTGGGTTTCTTTGGTTTAAGGTCATTCATTCGGTACTGTGCTGCGTGATCTTGTAGTAATCGATTTTAACAGGAGAGAGAAGCAGCTCGCTGGAAGGTGCAGTTCAGTGTACAGAATTAAGCAGATCGTATTCACTTCGTCGTTACTTTTTGAAAGGACCCGGTAGGAAAGAGGCCCAGCCCTGCTCCTGTCTCTGTGCCGTATCTGAGTCCGCTCGTGCTTCGGAAGGAGCTGGAGTCGCTGTTGGAAAACGAAGGCGACCAGGTGGTTCATTCGCCCTCCTTCATCAACCAGCACCCCATCATCTTCTGGAACCTGGTGTGGTACTTCCGGCGCTTGGACCTCCCCAGCAACCTGCCGGGGCTCATCCTCGCCTCTGAGCACTGCAACGGGGGTGTGCAGGTGGGCCCCGACTTCGTACTAGACGGGAGCGGCCGCGGGGAGGCTTGAGCTACTGAGAGTCTGAAAAACTCGGCACGATCAGGGTTTATTTCTCTCACATTAAAGTCTGCGTGGAAGTTCAGTAGTGGAGCGTCCGGGACTTGACATTCTTTTTGCTTCTCTGTGTATGATCCCCGTTTTACCCGAGCCCTGCTGCTGGTCTAGGGTAGCTGGCACTGTCTTCCAAGCCTCGGAGTCCTATTTCAGTCAGCAGCAAGTAGAAGAGGGATGGAGAAGCGTGTGTCTCCCCACAAGCAGCCCGTGAAGCTGTCCGCAGCATTCCACGTGTCCGTGCTGCCCGACCTTGGCTGTGTGGTCGCGTGTAGCTGAAAAGGGGACTGGAAGGGTCGCTTTTGTTCTGAAGTGTCATATTCTCACTGAAATCCTCACAGTAGCCTTATTTGAAGGGACTCAGATGATATACTTAAAAGTTAGAGAAGTTAGGTGATTCTGTAAGGTCACCTGCCTAGTGAGGGAGGGAAAATGAGTACTACTGTCCGCTGCCTGACTCCGACAGCTGCAGTGATACTCGAGTGGTTGCAAACACTGGACGCTGAGTACAGTACTCTTACTGTATTTATTATATTGACTAGTGACAGATACCAAATCACACAGCTGGGGTACAACACACTCTTGAAAGTATTATAAACTGTAATTTGACCCATTATTTTGAATGGAGTAGCTGAAACAAAATTATTTGGTAAGATAGTAGAAATTTATACTTTGACTTCTTAAAGTGATTGATGCTTAACTTTTTATGTGACTTTTGTGCCAGTTACCAAGTTGTCTTTCAATCCTAGAAAGTCAGGCTAAGAAATTGATAAGCCAGTCATAATGGTCGCTGTTTGGGAAGCTGAGGCAGGAGGATCACAGCCTGAGCAGTTAGTGACTCCGTATCTCAAAATAGTGACATGAGGCAATAGGTTCAATTCCAGTAAAATACACTCTCACAGGACACAGAAAAGGGGGCAGAGGGCAAGCGGAGGGGAGGAGGAGGAAGAAGAGAAACCTGTGCCAGAAAATGAAAAGAACAGTTCTCATCAGATACTAATAAAATTTTTAAATTTTTGTTTAGAACTTCAGGTCCAGTTTTGAGAGGACACATCTGTTTTATAGTTTGTTAGCCCTGTGGGGAACTACTGTGTTTAGCATACTAATATTTTCTGTTGGTCTCCTGTAGCTTCCTCTGTCATCTCTGTCGCAGGATAGCAAACTTGTGTATGTCCAGCTGTTGTGGGATAACATCAACCTTCATCAGGAGCCGGGAGAGCCGCTGTATGTCTCCTGGAGGAGTTTCAGTAAGTAAAATAAGATTGGAGTCAGGGCTTAAACACTCAGACTCAGCCGGGCGTGGTGGCGCACGCCTGTAATCCCAGCACGCGGGGAGGCGGACGCAGGGTGCTTGCAACCCTGGGCAAGCAGGGAGCTAGCCTGGAAGCTGACATCTTAGACAGGGAGGGTGAGCAAGAGAGAGGGAAGAAGAGGAGGGCATGGAGGGGCAGGGAGCGAGAGAAGTTTGTGTTAAGGAGAGACAGAGAAAGGAAGGAAAGAAAGAAAACAAACTTGGATGCAGTTCAGATACCCTTTCTCAGTAATGGATAAGCAAACTGCGGAATGGATAAGCAAACTGCGGTTTGTGGTACGGTCCATTCACTTGGTACGGTCCATTCACGTGAGTGATTTGTTATCAGATAGTGGAGAATGAGTGAAAAAGAAGGATACAGTTAAAGAGATGAGAGAAACAAATTACTTTGCTTTATTTTTAACTTCTTAATTAGTTCAGATTGGTTTATTACTGTGCTGACCTGCTCAGCTGTGTCAGGGCTCAGCTAAGTTGAAGAGTAGCTTTTTGTAATTTTGTTTGACTGGGTATTTTGAGAGCAGTTTTTTGTTTGTTTGTTTGTTTTGGTACCAGGAGTTGAACTCAGGTCCTTTACTTGCTAGGCAGGTGCTGTGCAGCTGAGTTGCATCCCTGGCCTGATGGTGAATTCTGTATAGGGGAAGAGTAACATACATGTGTTGGTGTAGGATCAACTGCACCTGCCGACAGGTGGGTGGGTGTGGGCTCAAAGAGTCTAGCTTTTTTTTTATTTTTTAAATTTTTTTTTTGTCTTTTTGAGACAGGGTCTCGCTGTGCAGTTCAGGCTGGCCTTGAGCTCACTTTGTAGTCCAGGCTGGTCTTGAACTTGCAACGATCCTCCTGCCTCAGCCTCCCAAGTGCTGGGATTATAGGGGTGCGCCACCACGCTCGGCCTCCTGTACCTTTTGAAAGGCACAGTATTGCAAAATGTTCTGTAATTTGTGGTGAAAAAGAAAATGCAGATCTTTCAGGAGTGGTCTTTAACACGTGAATAACTAAAACATATATAAAGAGTTGAGATGTGGCTTCCAGAATGGCAGTGTGAGGAGCTCCTCGGCCCACTTCCCAGTGGGACAGCCGGAGCTCGTGAACGTTACTGCTGTTGTCCTAAGGCTGTAAATAAGAAACATTTATTCAGGAAAATTTGCCAGATCTCATTAGAAACAGAAAGATTTGGGGGCACTTGAGCCACAAGTTTCCGTGTTCTTTGTTCGTCTTTGATACACTGAATTTCTAGCGTCACCCATAGAGACTGTTTGGACACAAGCCCTCGGATAATGCAGTGGTCACTCTGATAACCAGAAAAGGTCCGAAGTGACCAGCAGGCAGGTGCATTGCGGACGCACGGAGGCGGCGCAGTGTCCTCCGTGTGTCCCCAGGACTGCTCAGAAACCAGACACGCTCGCATGAGCAGCAGAGGCAGTGAGGGTGGGGAGCAGCCGCAACCCGCACGCACTGCTGGCCAGAATGTAAAATGGTGCGCCTGCCTGGGAAGACGCCCTCACAGCTCTCAAAGCGGTAGTTACCCTGAGTTCACACAGAAACTAATGCCCGGATGTTACTGGTGGCATTCTTCATAATAGCTTAAATGGAAATAACCTAAGTGTTCACCGTTTCGTGAGTAGGCACCGTGTGTTACAGCCATACGGTGGAATTTTGTTTGGCAGCAGAAAGAGTAGTAAAGCACTGACACATGCTACAGCGGGGGAATCTTGAAAACAGAAGAAGCCAGCCACAAAAAGCATGGGTATCATTTCCTTTCTGTGAGGTTTTTATGACATGAAAATACATGGAAGCAGAACGTGGGGGAGCGGTTGGTTGCCTGTGTCAAGAAAGCTGAAGGGGTGCTTCTGTTTCGAGGTGGTGAAAGTATTCTAAAATTGATGGAGTGGTGGTTGTCACACATTTAAAAACCGTGGTAGCCAGGCCTGACGGTGCACGTCTGTAATCCCAGCACTTGGGAAGCTGAGGCAGGTAGATTGCTGCAAGGTTGAGGCCATGAGGGGGTACATAGTGACAGCTTGTCTCAGAAGAATGAAACAGCAAAACTGTTGCACACTTCCACTGGGGAAGTGTGTGTTCTGAGAGTTGTACTGCAGTAAAGTGCTATTCTTAAAGCTGAATTGAAAAAGAAACGGTGGAGTTGCTTGTTATATTTGGGATAGGCTCTGAAGTCCGCATAGCATGAGAGTCAGGTCTATTCGGAGGTCGGCATTTCGCTGAAAAGCTAAGATCAGAATCCAAGCAGCCAGTGCTGCCACTTGCAGTCCCATCGGAGAGCTGTGCTGCTTTACTGGGTCACAGAGCACTAGTAGCTTATTTTGGAGCTGTGCTCTGTGACAGGTACGTTACTTTATGACAGGCCCTCGAGTGAAGCTGACGGCGGGTACATAGTTCCAGTTTATGCTGATAGGGGTATAAGTAAAACTGTATGGTTCCTGGAATTGCCTATATTATCAATTACTTTTTCTAGGCCAAACATAGTTTTTTAATTTCTATATGTTTAATATTCATATATGATCCAGCTCTCCTCTACCCTTGAAATGCTTTTGTGTTTTGTTCTGGTTTTGGTTTTTTTGAGACAGGGCCTTGTACTTCAGGCTGGTTTTGAACTTACTCTGTAGCCCAGGCTGGACTCAAACTCATAGCAGACTTCCTGTCTCAGCCTCCTAAATGCTGGGATTACAGGCATGCACTACCATGCCTGGCTGTGAAATAGTTTTTTAATCTGTGAAAGCTATATAAATGTGTTTTTAGTAGTTCTATAATTATTCTTGTTTTAATTAGGATTAAATAGCTGTTTTAATAGAAAGTAACAGAAGCTTAAGGTTAAAATTCTCACACAAAGATGTTACAAATCATACTGTACACCATATATGATTTTTATTTACAAGTTAAAGAAAGAAAATTAGGAGAAAACGAAGTTCTAGGGATGATTAACAATTGTTCTGTCTTCAGGGAATTTAGGCTTCCTTTGTCTGTCTGTTTTATCATCAATGACGCTTGCTTTAGGGTCACAGATGCAGGCCGGGATGCAGGCTTTCACATCCCATCCTCAGATAGGAAGCTTTACATTGGGAAGGGCCAGGGAACAGATTTCTCCTACAGAAAGGGAACAGGAGGAGCCTTGCGTGGTAGCACACACCTGTAATCCCAGCACTCAGGAGACTGAGCAAGAGGGTTGTGGTGAGTTCAAGGCCAGCCTGAACTGTGTACTGAGACCCTGTCTCAGAAAAACCAGTCAATGAATGAAAACAAAATAAAAATCAAGGGAGCAGGAAAAGTCTTCTTGGCGGGCACAGTGTGACATAACTGAGCGAGGCCGAGGTGGTGCTCGGTGGACAAAAGGAGAGTGACCGTGCGGTGAGAGCTTCACTGGGGACTGGGGAGACGTGTTTCTCACCGACTGTGTTCTGATCGTTAGGTTCTGAGAAGAAAGGGTGTCTTCTGTCTGAGGAGCAGCAGGCAACCAGCGCCTTAGTGGAAGCCGTCAGGCAGAGCATTCAGCACAATGATGTCCTTAAGCCCATCACTCTGCTTTCCCAGCAGATGAGGCCCGACGTGCAGAGACAGAGGTAATAAATAACCCCGTTCCTGGTACTCGGAGCCGCTCAGTTGCATGGCTTAAAGAATTTAGTTTTAGCTGGGCTGGTAATCCCAGCTTCTTGAGAACCTACGGCAGGAGGACTGCAAGTCTGAGGCCAGTCTGGGCAGCATAGCAAGAGCCTGTCTGCAAAGGGCAGGGGCTGCGGCTCTGAGGCAGAGCACTTGCCTAGTTAGCTGGTGCTGCTGGTACTGCCCCCCTTCTTTGTCAAATACTGTACCTCTAGTTGTAAGAGAAATACGTACTCTCTGCAAAACAGTGATGAGTGCTGCCCTACTGTGCATTAATAATTGAGCACACGTAATAAATTATCTGTCTGGTAGAGTAAATCTTGGGAAGGTAAATCGTTGATAGCTAAAATGTACTATGTATTTTGCAAACACTTCTGCTGCGCTCCACTGGAAACCTTCTGTGACTTTATTAGCATTGTGTGCTACTTGTTACGGTCCCCTGATACCCACACATTTTTCTTGTTGGACCTAAAATAACATGAGATTCCGAGTAGACTTAGGAAGGAGGTAGAAGCAGAGAATTATGAAGGATGTGAAGCTGTCTAGATCCTTGCATTATTGTTTGCTAACATGTTTGGATCACTGCTCGTCCCTATTTCAGTGTAAGTGAATTCTGCAGTAGATGCTTTAGAAAGAAAGTCACAATCATTTCACATGTGACTGATATTTCCAGGGTCTCTTAAATAAAGTCTCCTTAAGAATGGCATCCTTGAAGGTAATCGCAGAAGTGCTAGAGCAGGAGTTGATCACGGAAATAGATGGATCCACTTGGATTCCCAGCTGCTGAGGAAGGGATGACCTTCACAATCCAGAGAGCAGTTTGCTTCATGATTTGTGGTGAAAGGGCAAAAAATACTGGTAGAAATGTCACATTATGGCCTCTGAAGCTTCTAAAGAAAGCTACGTGAGATGTTGTTAGAACCAGTATTACCTTACAATGTTTTCCCTGTAAATCTGTTTTTTTGTTTTGTTTGATACGTAGTTCAAGCTAGCTTCAAAGTCACTGCAGTCCTCTTGCCTCAGCTTCCAAGAGCTCAGGTTATAGGGGTCCGTCACCACACCGAGCTAAAATTTAAAATTTGAAGGAGACTTTTGGTGGTGCAAAAGATAGTACATGGATTTCACTGTGCTCTTTACCCAGCTAAAGGTATGAGCTCATATACCTCTAGAAGGCCGGGATAGTTATATGGTGTAAAACTGTTAGCTCACTAGAGAATTTAAATCTACTTTCACCATTTTAAAAAAAACTTGCATCTGTGTATACTTTTTTTTATGCTGTTTACCCATTAACTTTTAAAATACATGTATTTTATAGGAGTTTATACAGAGAAATCCTCTTCTTATCACTCGTGTCTCTTGGAAGAGAAAATATTGACATTGGTAAGTTGGTTGATGGACTAACAAAAGGGTTCTTAGGGGTGTGTGTGAGTGTGTGTGTGTTTGTTTTGAGACAGAGCCTCACTGTGCAGCTCAGGCTGGCTTTGAACTCACTTTGTAGCCCAGGCTCACTGCGAGCACACAGCAATCTGCTTGGCTCCGCCCCGAGTGCTGGGATTACAGGTGTGTGTCGCCATGCCTGGCAGCTTTCTTTTCTAGAGCAATTTTTTTTCCCTAAATGTAGCTGGTATAGCCAGTCATGGTGGTGCACTCCTGCAATACCAGCATTCAAGAGCCTGATGCAGGAGGATTGCTGGAAGTTCGAGGCCAGCCTGGACTACATAGTGAGTTCAAGCCCAGCCTGAGCTCCACAGCAAGACCTTGTCTCAAAACACAAAAAATGTAGCTGGTGAGCTGGGGGTATAGCCCAGTGGTAGGGCATCTGCCTGCCATGCATAGGGCCCCAGGTTCAGGTCCCAAAACAGAAGGGTTTGGAAGAATTACAGCTGGTGTGTGTAAACGCCTGCTTTTGAAAAGGGGTGTACCTTTTACATACGCATTTGAAATGTTTGGGCTGGGGCGTGGCTCAGTGATCGAGCTCTTGCCGTGCATGCACAAGGCCCCGGGTTCGATCCCCAGCACCACAGGGGGAAAAAAGTGAAATACACATATTTTCACTCAGTACCATTTTTAAATGCTTTTTTTCCTTACTAACAAATTACAATTGCATTTTTAAAAATGTCTTTCAGAGGCTTTTGACAATGAATATGGACTTGCGTACAATAGTCTGTCTTCACAGATTCTTGAGAAGTTACAGAAAATTGATGCCCCCCCGAGTACCAGTGTGGAGTGGTGCCGGAAGTGTTTCGGAGCCCCTCTCATCTGAGTTCTGTGGGCAGCGCCGGGGCAGCTGGTCTGGAGACACTCAGGGTTTTCAGTCCTAAGAAAGGTGGAGACAGCGGAAGCTGCGCTCGTGGACGGCGCAGTGAGGGGACCCATGCCGAGCCGGCTCGGTAGAAAGTACCCGGAGGTGCCCCACGGCTTGCTGGCGTTGAGGAGTCTCAGCTCCTGAGCTGTTGCTCTGCCTCTGTGGAGACCGGCTTTTGGGTCTCTCAGTATTGGTGGTGGGCCGGTAGGAATGATGAGACCGTGTTGATGTCAGCATTGTTTGTTTTTGCGCACACCCAGACAGACGGGGCGTGAGACTGTGGAGCTGTGGGGGCGTCGTAGGTCCGCGTTTTCAGTGTGTATTTATTAACGTTCTTAGACTGCGTGGTGCCGTAGTTCTGTGTTAGGACTCTCACTACTTACCAGTGACTACTGCTAAACCATCGGTAGTCATTAATCTCACAGTTACCCGAATGTCATGACAACTGCCTTCCCTCTGACTTTAAATTTAATATATGTCTCACCTTTTATATTATATATTATTTTGCATTATGAGTTAATCTTGAATATCTAGGTACTTCCATCCTTTTCAAATACCGTGTTAATTTGCAGTGAGTTTAAAATTGGAATGAGTCAAATAGTTAAAATGAAATAAACTTCATAATTTACACTTACTTGTAAGTTACGTTTAGAGCGCTGATGTGTATATTCAGTCCTGAAATCTTTGTTCAGGCATGTAGGTTGTTGCAGTTGGTCACTTTAAATAACCTGTAGGGTAGCTGGGCGTGGTGGTGCACGCCTGTAATCCCAGCACTTGGGAAGCTGAGGCAGGAGGATTGCCATGACTTTGAGGCCAGTTTGAGCTACATAGCGAGTTCAAGGCCAGCCTGAACTGCATAGTCAGACCCTGTCTGAAAAAACAAAAAACCTGTGGGATAAACTTGCACTGCACACAGAAGTTGTATTCATGTATAATATTTAATTTGTATGTTAATAAGTAAAAATGTGTATTTGTAAATATTGTTTTTTAGGTTGAATCAATTAAGTCTTAAAATTTTAAAGCTTACTGAGCTCATTGCTGGTAGGTTTAAGGAGATCACGGGCTCACATGCACTTACCATGCTCTCTGTTAAGAATACCCGCTAGAGCAGTAAGTTTCCTTAATTCCCTGCGTGGCTTAAAATGCTGGTTGCTGAAAATGTGCATTTATAGTAATTTTGCAGATGCTGGTCTTGTGGTAAGTTATCCCCCCATCAAAATGTCAATCCTTTTTTCTTTGGGTAACTTCAAGAAATGCTCCAGTTCCCTTTTGCTTTTCAGGACCTTTAATTCACAATATCAGTTAAGATTGTTTGTTTATGGATCATCGGTATTTTAAAAATGGAGATCTACCGTAGTGCGTAGTCACAGTAAATCACAAAGGAATGTTGGTACACAAGAATTACGTCTGTAGAGTACATGTTAAAACCTTTTAAACGTTATAGTTACTGTGTCAGTCTTTCAGCGTTTAAAAGGGTTAATCTGACCATGCAATCTAGTCTGAATTTGTCAGAGTGCTAAGTGAAAAAATTTGTTAGAAATTATATGCAATCTTATCTTCAGAGTAGACCTTTTGCACTATATAAAGAATATATATTTTTGCAATTTACAACTTAACACTTACTGACCCAACAAATTTTGGAATACTTTGCGTATAAAAAATTGAGACCGAATAAAATGAAAAATAATCTTAAATTTCTTGTGCTTGTGTCTGTTAAAATTTTAAGGCTCTTGGTTAGAATCCCAATACTGTTTTGCTATTTTTTGTCTTTCTTAGTGGAACTAAATTGTTATTCACCGAAGTATTTCCTATTTACAAAAATGTGTTCTGAAGATACACATTTAAAAGCAAAAAACTAAATGGACTTTTTTTTTAAGGTATGAGCTTTTACAGTTATTAAAGGTAGGAAAAGAATTAGGCTCTGTAGGCTGAGCCACCAAGAGATCACCGTGCTGTCCACTTGCTTTTTCACTGGTTTCATAACATGTGAAATGACTTCTGGCAGTCATAATCTTGGAAACCTTAGCCTGCTGCTATCTGATCTGTAGGGACTGGTGTGGCAGAGGGCAGGGGATTAAGCAAGGTCTAAGTAGTCCAGGCTGGCCCTGAACTTCTTATATAAAGCCACGTTAAACTTGTGATCCCCTGGCCTCAGCCTTCTGAGTACTGGGATTACAGGTGTTCTCCATTCCATTTGGCAAGGGACTGATTTGTAATAAATCTCCTAAATGCTTTCTCTACCTATGCAAACAGTGAAAATTCACAGGGAAAAAACCCCTACTAGGTATCTAGTGTATGGAGAAGTTTCTAAGTCTCCAGAATGACATAACTCAGAACACTTTAACCTTGATTTAACTTCTAAAGAGTCTTTCAGGCCAAGGGTATCGCTCATTAATGAACACTTGCCTGGCATATGCAAGACCTCAGATCAATGCTCAGTACTAACACAACACGCACGTGCGTGCATGCGCGCGCGCGCGCACACACACACACACACACAAACCTTTCAGATTAGATTGTTCAGCGAAGTCTGACGTTGATTTGGGGTTTGATACTGCCTCTGGTAGCGTTTTGGAGGTTGATCCTAGGAAAGTACATGACTTATGATTTACCTAATGAATTTAACAGGCTCTTGTAACTTCTGATAATTATCAGTGTTGAGTGTTTTCGCAGTATAATGTATCTTCATCATCCTAACCAGAAATTCCCAATTCATGACCAAGTTAGATCTGGCTTTTCATGGCTGTATTCTTCGAGAATCATTAACTGAGGTGCTGCTTAAATACCGAACTTGGCGACATGAACAGGTCTTGTGACAAATAATCATTGTAATGTTTTTTCTTTGGTAACTTTCAGAAATGCTCCAGTTCCCTTTTCAGGTCCTTCAATTTATAGTACAAATTAAAATTCACTTTATGAATCATCAGTATTTTAAAGATGCAGATCTTCAGCCAGGCCTCCCATATACATTCAGGTTGTGAAATTTTTGGCTACACAGGTTAAAGCTTTTTTGAAATTGTATTCTTCTGGTAAAATATATATGGGGTTATCAAAATAGTTTAAATTTTTTAAAAATTAAGACACAATGGCAGGAACCCCCTCGCAGATCCTCCCTGGTTGAACGTTGTGTTTCTGAAGTCTCTCCAGTCTTTGAGGTGATGAAGAGCAGTGGATGCTGTTCAGCCATGTAACAGCAAGACAGACGCACAGGGGTGTCCTGGTCCACACCTGACCCATGCGATTCCGGCCCCCTGCCAGTGATCGTGGAAGGTGAACGCTTACAACCTGTTCAAGACTGAACTTAATAAATCAAACTTACTCTGCAAACTTGATACCTTAGGGCAGAAAAGAATCTCCATTTTTCACTGATGAAAGTCTTGTGTGGATTGCAAGGGAATACAGGGCCCAGGGCCTGGTAGGCAAATATCCCAGTTACATATACCCCGGAGCCTCTAAATTTTAGTCAACTCCCCTTTTTTAGAAGTCAAAGCACAAATAATTTAGGAGTTAAAATTGCTAATGCAGTATCTGCCATGTTTTAAAAAGCTTCTGTGATGTCATAAAAACGGTTCTCCACTAACTCTTGTCAAGCTCTGTAGAAACACGACATCCACCTCCACCAGGGCACTTTTCATATTACAGTATTTTCTGTATTATTTGAACTGTAGCCCACAAAATAAACTCTGACATTAAAAATGAGTCATTTATTTTCCCTAAATGACTGTATGCCTTTCTGAAAAAGCCTTAGTGTTTTGTGCTAGCAACCCTCTCCCTCTCTCAAAATGTGTCCTTTTATTCTCTAGTTACCTCATCAGTAAAAAGTCAACAAAGGAGGCTTGAGGTCAGATCTAATTTATTTGTTACTTAAGCATTTTATTTTTGACTGGACTCAGACTTGGAAGTAGAAGCTCTCAGAGAGGACAGCCTGCGTCTCTTGGCAATTTGTTCCTGGCGTTTTTCTTTGGCTTCCTAAAAAACAGAACAGTTCAGGTTTTGTACAGGTGAAAAGTACAAATCCAGAGCCATTCCGGTTTCATCCCCGCCCATCGTGGACTCACCTTCATTCTCTTGGCCAGAAGCTTAGCATATTCTGCAGCCTCCTCCTTGTTCTTCTTAGTGCGCTGCTTCTTCAGAGCGATACGGCGGCGTTTGTGTTGAAGGACACGAGGAGTGACCAGCCGCTGAATCTTGGGGGCTTTAGTCCTGGGTTTCTTCCCTAGAAATTCAGAGGACTCGGTCATTGCTCAAACACCTCATTGGTGGAGTGCTGCTCAGCGGCAGACTGCGTACTCAGCGTGCACCTGAGCCTGGCTTTAATCCCCACATGGAGAGACAGGTGTAAAAGCCGTGCCTTGCGTGGTAACAAGACACGTTTACGTTAGCAGCACCTATGAAAACTCGCTTACCGAGGCATTTTAAACTACGCCACATCTAAACACTAAAAGTACACTGTCTCATCAATAAAAATCTGAGGCTAAATGCTGCGAGAGGGAAAACTGAAATCCTGAAAAAAATACCTATTATGCTTTAAGACATTCACCATGTTATCAGTATTAAAACTGGCATTACCTACATCACCCACCCTACCATAGTGAGGGTCCCTTCAGGCCTCAGTCTGTTTCCTATGACAGGTGTCAATCCGGGAAACAGCAGACCACGTGGCTTGTTAGTATCTTCATTTAGGGTTTGAACTGTGCTCCAAACTGCTTAGGGGTCGGTTATAGGTCCAATATGGAGCGGAAACTTTTCAGACACGGTCTAAGGTCAGCAGTCATATTTTGCGTTCTCCGAGTAAGCACCGTTTAAAAAACACCTTCCACTGGATCACTCCCCTGGAATTCCAGGTCACAGGGCACTGCGTGTGTGCGCCCTAAGGTAGGACCTTAACTGGGCGCACCACTATCCGCAGCGCTTAGCGTGTGACGGATGTTCGGGTATTCGGCGTGAGACTGCTGCGCACGCAGCGTGCACTGAACACAGCGTCGCGCGGCTGGCGAGGGCGCCCGTCCGCGGACGGTTCCAGGCTGGTTCACACAGGGTCTGGCCAAAAATTCACTTTCTTTAGCAAACTCCGCATCAGGCGGCAAACACAACCCCAGCCGCCTTCCCCCAAACCAAATTATGATCGTACACCGATACCACTGTAGAGGCGTAAGCCACAGCAGTACTAGAAACCCCGTGCAATCTTGCCCAAACCTGTGGGAAAAGCAAAGGCGCTACGCACCGCGCTCAGCGCACGCGCACGTCTCCCCGAGGCGCTCCCCGCCGCCTCTGAACCCGCAGCGCACCCGGTCACGGCGGCCGGCCTCACCTTCCTTGCTCAGGGGCTTCCGCACGACGTACTGCCGGACGTCGTCCTCCTTGGACAGGTTGAACAGCTTGCGGATGCGGCTCGCCCGCTTGGGGCCCAGGCGCCGGGGCACCGTGGTGTCCGTCAG